TTTCATTTTCTGGCATTTTATTTCATCTGCAAAACAACCAATGTATGGAGTAGTAAAATCATTCATACTGCATAATATATTAGAATATTTAAAATTCGTGGGATATTTTTATGTCTATTGTGAATTTATAATTGTTTTATATACTCATATATTCATAAATCTAAAACATAATTGTTTCATTCCTTTACAGGTATAATATTGTTTTGATGATTTGCAATTCATTCATTTATACAAGATGAAATAACTCTTTAGTTTAAATAAACTCCATGAATCTCTTATATGGTTACTAGTCACTAACTATATAAAGCATGGTTGAGCTTGTTCTAAGTAGTTTTGGCCAGTGAAGTTCAATTATCGTGAAGTTGATACATTTTTTCAATAATGGTAAGGGATGATAAGAACACAATATTAGAAACTAAATAGTGATTCATTAGGTATAAACTAAGTGATTTTAAAGTAACCCATGAATCAAAAGGCTTAATGAATCTAGATTCTATTCCTTGTAGGTTCGAGTATGTACACTAGTGACCAAATAGATGATGGTTATGGTGGATAATGTTTATTCTAATGTATTATTTATAGCAGAATCACTAGCAAACTTCATGGTTATGGATAAAAATTGTACTTTTTTGATTAATACAAAGTAGAATAACACTACGTTTTATTAAATATATAGATTGTCAATGATAGTAGGGAGGAAAAGTTTAAACATCTTGAAAAGTTTCTAAAATTACGTTTAGAATTTAATTATAAAAGTGGAATGTGGATCAAATATAAACTTAGTAGCAACATCGTTTCCTGTAGATAACAATATACTCAAAAAAAAAGGAAATAATCATAAATATCAGAATGGGGTCATGTGGATATTATAGTAATTTAATAGTTGAATTCATGAGTCGATCAAAGCGTTGGACGGCCGTTTCGTTTCAGTATTGGACTCCTCAGCAGTGCATAGCTACAACTCCATTCTCAGGCTTCGAACCCAGGACTTATCAGTCTCGCGCGCGAACGCTTAACGGTCTTTCAGTGCTTTCAGGTTTTCCATAGTTGCTCAATAATTCAATTAGTAAGTCATAATATCATTAGTAAAGCTGAAATAAAGTTCGCTTTTTGATAACTGTCTATATAATTTCATGAATGAACATAATCTAAGTGATAACTTTGATTTTATATTAGTTTAAACTGATCACTTACTTAATTTAAATAATATAGGTATTCATTTTAATGATTTTATAAAATTAACTTTGAAGATAAATCTCCACATGAACTAGCATCAATTAGTCTTTTGAATGAAAACAATGAATGTTGGATTTTAAGCTGAAGATTTTCCATTTAATCTTATTTGAAATTATCAGTATATACTAATGTGAAGTTTAAAACTATGATAGAACAGCTATTCAGCACTTTCAAGATGTTATCCATTCTCTAATTGATAACAGTCCAATAATAAGATTTACATTCATAGTTTGAATTTGTATTTCATTTAAAATGAACAATATTTTAACAACCAGGTTATTCTTATACAATATTTTGTTCGTATTTAGTGAGTAGTATTATGCTGTATGCTTTATATAGATTTCTGGTACCGTTTTAAAAATAAAACAGAGTGGAATAAATGAAGCGTATAAATGATAGTTGATTTTATAAATTTGTATCAGTAAAATTAACCACGTTCATCTCGTTTATATATATGGATTTTACTTACTTAACCCCCATAGAGCATAAGCCGCCAACCAACAATCTCCAAATCACTCTGTCCTGGGCCCTTTTTTAGTTCTGTCCAATTTTTGTTCATTTTTCTCATGTCTGTCTCCATTTCTTGGTGTAACGTGTTCTTCGGTCTTTCTCTTCTCCTATGGTTTTGAGGATTCCAAGTGAGGGTTTGTCTTGTGATGCAGTTAGATACTTTGCTCAATGTGTGTTTTATCTACTCCGCTTAGAGCCTCTTTGAAGCTACTGCCGATCCCAAGCCCGGATAAAGGATGAGGGTTGTGTAAAGGGTTGGTGACCACATTCCGTAGAAAACTAACCCACTATACAAAACGCTAACTAGATATGTGGATCAGCTAATTATAGATTTGTTTTTCTTTCGCGAAATATTTAACATTTTGAATACTAAATGTGTAAAGTATTTATTTATTAAAGTGTGCAGGAAACAAATACTTAACTCACCTTACCGAAAATGATTGATAGAGTGATGATTCTTAATATTTGTAGGTGACAAACTTCCTATTTATTATAAATACTTCAGTTTGATGAATCAATATCTAAGTATTATTGCACGTCATTTACATATGAAGTAGATTCATGAGAAAATATTTTGTTTATATGATAAGGTTACTCCGTCACATAACAGAAATACAACTTAGAATAATATTCTAACAGACTAAATCTTTCAAGTTTATTCATTGAATATAAGTAATGTCAATCACTAGAATTCACAATTTAAGATAAACTATTCATGAATAAACTGGTGAAATGAACACCTCTGAAAGGTAGTTTATATGTTGCAAATTCAAGGTTTCAAGTTATATATTAGCTGCTTTATGCATATGAAAGGTGAAAAATGAATAGAAGGATAACCAACACCCTATAGTAAAAACATTAAAAATGTACTGCTCTCTCATATTTATCAATATGCTAAGTTATTCATTCTAAATGCAATTTAAATTAATTTCTTTGAACTAAACTATCAGATGTCTAGATTTTTCCTGTTTGTACCAATTTATTTATAGTAACAACTGTGCTGTACTGCTCAGTGATTGATTGCACTGTGGTGTGTGCTACTGATGTCCACAGATATAAGCGGTATGTATCATCAATAGAATGTGAAATGTCTGTTGGATAAAGGTTAAGAAGATCAAAGAAAAGAGAACGGGAACAAAGAATGATTGGTGTGAAAACGAAAGAACAATGAAGCCTGAGACGATTGATTGATATCTTGCAAATGAAGTATTTACAATATAGTTCCCAGATTTTACTATGCTCTTCTTTATTTTTGTGTTCAAATACATTTCATTGTCCCCATTTGTGTTCTCGTTCAATTCAATCGGAGTACAACTTCAAAATTATCTAATGGAGAAATCAATTATCAATTCATGCAAACTATCTAAAATTAATGTCTTGACAAATATATTTCTATCGTTATTTTATAAATGAGCAGATCATTGGTCAATATAGTGCAATACAACCAAATGAGTGACAAAAGTAACGTTTTGTATTGATTTCAAAGTTAGGTAAATTCGAAACTGATCTTGAGTAGTTTTGGAATAACGAGGAAGTGATAAAAATATGAGTGAATGTATCATAATGCTAAGTCAAAGAATTTACAAAGAATATATTGTTCTTATGTGTTAAATGATAAATGAAGTATTTATAATATGGTTCTCAGATTTTACTAAGAGGATCTGTAATTTTATGCCCAAATACATCCAATTGTCAGTATTGGGGTTATGGAGATTATTAAGTTTTTTGATCGAGATCATGAACCAATTAATGTTGGAGAACCGTTGGAAGCCTGGAAGCACTGTTTCATGATAAAAAATTGTTTAGCTATTTGTAGTTGATAGATCAAATGTCTTGCAAGAGAAGTATGTAAACTGAATGGTTAATCTCCAAGATACTTAATTATTTAAAACCAATGACCTGAAGCTCATACCATTTTGTCCTGTTAACTAAAGAGTCTTTATCAATGAAAATTTCCAAAAACAATAAAAGAAGCGGTGAAAATGAGTCAAAGAAAATTAAATTAGATGCTAATTTTCTTAGATGTTTACACTGTGATTAAATTAAACAATCTAGAAAAAAAAGTTTTAAAATAGATGAATTATAGTTATCAATGTAATCAAGGTCTGATGCTTCATCCTTCACGAAACTGTTCAGTTGAATGTTCTAAATAAAACTAAATAATGATATAGATTTAACTAAGAATAATTCATCATTAATTATATAAAAGGCTTATAACAAAATGTTTATATGAAAGCCATTTTAACACAATGCACAAAAGTCAATAAAACTAGATCAGAATTCTGATCCTCAGTATTAACAACAGGGTAATTTAAATCATTTCTAATAAAGATAAATGCATAGATATAGGTTTCATCAAGTTCTTTATTTATTATAATTTAAAGTATGTACATCCATTTCCAATGATTCATGACAATTTCTTGTGAAAATACAATGACATTTACTCATTAGATCTGTAGTTTGTAATGTTAATAATCGATTAACAATTTGATATTACTGCTGAGATTATTTCAGTAGTCACGAACCAATAGAAAATTATCCGATAATTTAATAATTTATAATTATTGCTTATCATAATTTCATATCACCTTGAATTTTGAAATGATTCATATTAAGTTTGTGAATTATTAAGAACAAAAGCAACATGTTATGTAATAACATCTAGTTAACGAGTAACAAACTGAATGAATTAAGCGCTTTATAAACTCCAGTAGTAAATACTATTTAAATTGTATATAGAGAGACTTTTGTTCAAAAATTAGATTGGTCGAAGTTAAGCTCAGTGTTCTAGAGGTTAAGTATTCGCGCACAAGACCGATAGGTTTTGGGTTTGAATCTCATGAGACAACATCATGGATACGCATTGCTGAAAAGTCCCATACTAGGATGAAACGGACATCCATTGCTTACGGGTTTTCTATGATGGTCTAGCTTTAATTGACTTATGAATTCAACTATTTAAAAATAGAATATTCATCTATAAAACTGGATAAATCTATTCTAAATATTCTAAATGAACTTTAATTCATAATGGTGACATCCATAGTTTATTTAGTAAAATACTATTGTGATTGGTACACGGTTTAAATTTTCAATATATTTAATAAACATTGAGAACTGTATTGTTTGAGTATTATTATTATTAGTAGTAGTAATGATAATGATGAACTTTAACCAATAAGAGAATAACGAAATAGGAAATGAATTAGGATAAATAGAGTGAATTCCTTTGAATGAATTTATTTAATAAATAAACTTGATTTAGTAAACACTTAGTAACAAGTGAGTTAAACACATTATTCAGTTTATTATTTAAATGATACTGATTTATTACCTTAGTGATTAACTATTTTTATCTATGGACCGTTGAATATATATATATAATTCGTTAGTATAGAATTCCATATATTCGCAAGTAAGTAAGTCACTAAGTAGATATAGAGCAGAAGTATTCTTAGTGAGAATTATCTTATAAAAAGTTATATATTTCTACTAGTTTGATGGGTAACATTATTGAGTTTAGGTTCATGTGTGATGAATGTCAGTTTCATTGTGAATAAGAATGTTGATCATCATTCATAGGAATTGTATAGAAAGTGGTTGGTGTTAAAAAACAAAGAATTCAAAATCGAATTGCTAGGTATTACTCATAGGACAGAAGAGTTTGGTTACATTAACTTGGTTTAAACTAATGATCTATTAAAAAAACTGGTTATCACTTCTCAATTGAAAGAATAATAATGAAACAGAACTATTACAGATTGATCGAATATATTATTAGGGAATCTATCACATTTATACCAAACTCTAAATATTGAAACCGATATAAAGTTATGGTGTGATAATTGAAAAACCAAAAAAAAAAATTCAAATTTCAAAGAATAATAAAACATTTGAAGATCATAGCCATTTTAAATTTAAGTAAGATGTTTTTTTAACTACCATTAACTCTCTTACTAAGATTTAATTGTACTTACATGTTTTGGAATGACGGTTCGCAATAATCTATCGATAAGTAGTCTACCAGGAAAACGGTGTTTTTGAACTTTAGGCCATCTTTAGTGAATTTCTTTAAGTGAGTAACATATTCTTTTATTTATAAGTAAGAAACCGGAAGTTGGACTTCGCAGATGGCCTGGTCCTTCTATCCCATACACACGAATATATGCAGATGGAGACAACTAATGTAACAGCAGCCTCTGCATCAGTAGGCATCAACACACATAAAGGAAAAAGTAAGATCCTTAAATACAACACGGAGAACACCAACAAAATTACACTTAATCGATAAACTCTGGAAGATGTGGAATCTTTCACGTATCTGTACAGCATCATCGATGAACAAGGAGGTTCTGATGAAATGTGGAGAAATGCATAGATTGGCAAAGCAATGGACGCATTCCTACAGTTGCATAATATATATAACTCAAAACAACTGTCAACTAACATCAAAGTCATAATCTTCAATATGAACATCAAGACAGTTTCACTTTACTAATCTGAAACTTGGAAAATCACCACAACTATCATCAAAAGTGTACAAGTTTTTATAAACAGTCTACGCAAGATATTCAACATTTATTGGCTGGATACCATCAGCATCAGCCTACTGTGGGAGAGCGCAAACCAGGTTTCATCTGAAGAGGAAATTAGGAAAAGACGTTGGAAACGGGTAGGACACACATTACGGAAATTATCAAACTGCATCACGAGGAAAGCCTCAACTTAGAATCCTAAAGTGAAACGGAAAAAAGGAAGGCCAAAGAATACATTACGTCGGGAAACGGAATCAGATATGAAAAGGATGAATAACTACTGGAAAGAGCTGGAAAGGATTGCCCAGTACAGTGTTGAATGGAGAGTGTTTATGAACGGCCTATGCTCCTCGACTAGGTGTAACAGGTATAAGTAAATAACCGGAAGTTGTTGATGTTAAAATTCGTTTTATACTACATTCGAATCTTTATTAATTTACACTTTCAAATATGTATGTATGTAAATGTAGAGCGATAGAAAGATCAACCTTTAAACATTCAATAATTTCACTAATCGTATAATTCATAAATAGGTCAAATACAAAACTTGGTAAAATGGGTTAAAACGAAAAAAAAATGAAGAAGAAGAAGAAGTAGAAGGGGAAGAATGATTAATGATAATCATAACCATAAATAATCCAAAATAGTTTAGTTTAATATAGTGTTTATAATGTTAACCTTTTCATGAAAATAACAATCATCTCAATATATTACTTACTATTTTATTTTATTAGTTTGGATCAATGGACATTTCATTTTATGAATGAATAAATTATTATAAGAAGGGGTTTTGTGGATATTATAGTAATTTCAATGGTTGCGATCATGAGTCAAGCGAAGCTAGACTATCACAGAAAACCTGGAAGCATTGGAAGGCCGTTTGTGGGACTCCTCAGCAGGGTGCATCCAGTGTTTCCAGGTTTTTCGCGGTGGTCTAGCTTCAACCGACTCATGATCTCAACCATTGATAATAAATTATTGTTTATTTTTTAAAACGAATTCTTTTATTTGTGTTAGTTGATTTATTAAATATTGATAGGATATTGATTTAATTTTATTGACTTATTACTTATTCGATAATTGGAAATAGTTAATTACATTAATAACTTATGAATATTTGTATTCTCAGAAAAGAGGGGGGGGGTATGAAAATTATAGTAATATTAGTAGTTGAATTTATAATTTGAATAAAGATAGATCATTATGAAAAACATGAAAGCACCAAATGGTTGTTATGTCCCAGTATGAAACTCTTCAATAATGCATATTTACCATCTCGCCTTGAGGGATTCGTACCTAAGACTTGTTGTAAAATCAATTTTTCATTTAATGATTCATGTTAACAAGTGTACAAAATGTGCAATTATAAATTAGAAGAGTACGTTAATTAATTTACTGTGTTAAATTTGTAACTATGAAGAGACGTTTCAATGAATGCTTACTCTAGAATAACATATATAAGCGAACAATATTGTTTTCGATTAGATCCTCATCAGGCTTTACTCTAATATATAGTAATATTTATATGCATATACGAAATTATTAAACCAATCAAGGTAGTTTATGAACTTACTCGTAAAATATTCATGATCTGTTGTTTTGAACATTGATTGAAAAAAATACATTTACTTAGAACAGTTTTAGATAGTTGATTGTTAGGTGATGAAATTATGCTATTGCTATGTGCATTAAAACATTTAACTGTAAATTATACGAATATTCGTCAAGATTGGAACGAATAGTTTGATAGAAATTGGACGTCGAGTATAGAGAAGTCATTACATGTAAAAATTATATTTGAAATAATTTCAGCGATTGAAATTTTAAATAATTCCAACGTTTCGTCCAGCTAACTTGTCTGGACTTCTTCAGGGTAATAATAAGAAGTTCAGACAAGTTAGCTAGACGAAACGTTGGAATTATTTAAAATTTCAATCACTGAAATTATTTCAAATATAATTTAACTGTAATGTTTTAAATATATTATCTAGTTATAATTTAATCGACTGTTTACACTGTTAACTAGTAGAATAGTATATTACTTGAAAGATGAAAATATATACTCTATGAATCAATACAAATTAATTTAAATGTATTTCAATAATGTATACCGTCTATAGAATAAGGAAAATCGGTTATTTTGTACATACTATAAGGTTTATACAGAACTAATATGGTTTTATATCACCATTATATTATTCATATTAGTTTTATTCAATATTCTATTTTTGGTACAATATAGAATTCTCAGCACAAAGTATTTGAACATGTTTTCTTTTACTTATTTCTTCATCGATCCTGGCGATAAATATTGAGTAATCGTCAGTTAGATGTTCGTAGTTCTGGCATGGACATCTGAATAATCTTCATTATTTTTCAATGCATATTTTCAGCTATCATGATGTTTATGATTGTACTTTTCTGTAAGTTGTACAGCGAAAGATCGTAAACCTTTCACAAATGCACCTAAATAGGTTATACAAATAATTGACATAATTATTTGTTAAAACAAATAAGGGAACAGATTACTTGTTGAAATATATATAGTGCAGGAAGAGGTAGTCTAGATGTTCAAGTAGGCTGTCGTTGATATTATGAATTGTGACCAAACAATTATTAGCTAATCACCTTATGAATTTGTGTGTGTACGTATGTTATGAATTTGTTAAAATGATTATTATAAGGCTAAAGTTTTAATTACGACTATGTTTTTTCAATCGTTGAGACCATGAGTCAATTAAATTTAGACCATCATAGAAAACTTGGAAGCACTGAACGGCCGTTTCGTTCTATTGTGGGACTCCTCAGCAGTGTGGATCCATGACCTCGCCCCCCGCCAGATTCGACCCCAAGACCTACTGGTCTCGCGCGCGAGCACTTAACCAGTGGACTATTGAGCTGATATCCAACGGTGTTAATATCTAACTTCAACTAATCCACGAAATTGAGCGACAATTCCACCATTGTCGTCAGTAAGTTACTATCTCACAACTGACCCGGTCGAACTCCACTGGTCACTCCTTCTCACTAGAACTCCAGGACATACATCTTGAAGCCAGTCACTAGTGAGCATATGTTGATGATTATCAGAAGGGGTTTCGTGGAGATTTTAGTAAACTACGTTTTTATCTTGACCATTAAAATATATTATTCTCATTTTATCATGTTATACAAATATCATTTTCCATACCGAATATTAACTATATTGATTAAGAGTTGTCAGATAGATTCGAATTATAAGTGTCTGTTTCTTTGCAGTTACGTAATTTATTCACTGTAGAAATATTTTACTAGCACTTGCGATTGACATATTTATCTTATAATCTTTCTTAATTAATAATTTACTTCTTAATCTCCATGGTTTCATCATAACTAAATTAACCGGAATTGACAATTCACTTTAATAATAGTTGAAATGGTGAATCCCACAAAATTTTATTTTTTTTATAATCACAGTAACAAAATATTAATTTCAATGGGTGAGATCATGAGTCAATTGAAACTAGACCACCGCCTAAAACCTGGGAGCACTGGAAGGCCGTTTCTTTCTATTGTGAGACTCCTCAGAAGTGCGAATCCACGATCTCGCCCCCCACCAGATTCGAACCCTAGCTACAAATGAATCACGATCCCAACCATTGAAATTACTATAATATCCACAAAACCCCTGCTGATACAAGTTATTAGTTTCAATTATTCGACTGAGGATCATTTCAATATACCATTACGTATTATTTAACTAAAGAACATGTATTGTTTAATAGTCATTGGTCAAAATTTAAAAAGAAAAAAGTTGAAAATAAAAATCTTATTCAACTATTATCGATATGAAATTGAAATAGCTGATAGGAAATAACGGATATCTCTATGGTCAACCTTTCTCATGAAGATATGTAGACGAGACTTTAATTGATGAACAAACCAATCACGTATAAAGATATAAGATCTAGGATTTTGGTGCTAAATTCACTCATCCATTTGAATAAATAGAGTTTTAACAACATATCTGATGTCAGTTCGTGATGAAAGCCTGAAATATAATTCTTAACCTTAATCGTCAACTGTAGATTATAATTCTAATTCCACACACAGGTTGATAACTCTTATTTAGTCTTAGTTATTAAGTGGACACTTTCAAGATCAGTCTAAGAGTCATTCAAAGATCGTCCATAAATTATAGTCTCATCAATCTGTGAATCTCACAAATTAAACAAGTTTACATTAAAACATGTATCTGTTTATTACTTATTTTTATTTTCTATTAATTTTCATAAATATAATCCTTGATTTATTTTACAGAAGAGAAAAAATATATATATATACATAAATCTATAACAAAGTACCATACTAATTTCAAAATGCAGATACATTCAATTTCAATGTTTACATTTATTATAATTTGTGTATTCATTACAAATAATCTATTAATAAATGGACAAATGGCTGAATATTATATGAATGATGAAATACCACAAATTAATACATATGATAATATGTATCCAAAATATATTCAACGTCATAGAATACAACATTATAAACGAGGTGGAATGTATGGTGGATTATTAGGAAAATAATCAATAATTCATCATTTATCATTAATTAATTCATTAATTATTTGTTTCATTATTTTAAATAAAGAAAAATTTGTAATCTTTAAATAAATTTTAATGAAAAATGAAAATGTATTATCTATGTTATATATTAGTATTTTGAAATCTTTTACTGAATTTCAATATAGCTCTAAAGATGTATAGGTTCGATCGTCAATAGTAATATAGTTTACGATTATTTATTTAATAGTATTATTTGAACAAAAAGATATTGGTACAAGGAGGCATTAAATACGTATGCTTCACACAAATCAAGTGAGATTTGGGTGAAGGCTGTGATACTGCCTGGGTGCCCAAACCGAAGTAGGTGGTTTTCTTATTAAACCATAATAGCCACTTGTTTGTGCAATGAGATGAACTTTAAATCCAATTAATATTGTTTACTTGAATCTTCACATTGATGTTTAAAATCACAATTGGTCAGACCGTTATTAACGTATGTTTATACTGTGCGTATTGCATCGATGGTACTTTAATGCACAAGCATTATAAGAGTCCTGCATTCCACTGCTCATAAGGCTTGTGACTTAAGGCATTATCGAGACAATCTGAAGAGGATGTACATATACCATCAAGAGACTAATCGATTGCAGTGCTAAACATTAATAAGAAGATATAAGCAAACAACACCAAGTGAATATAATGTTATTTCTGTTTGTTTTTTATCAGAAATAAGCATGGAATTTCGTTTATTATGCGATGTGTAAAAATAAGTTTAAAGAAAAGAAACAATTACATTATTCAATGTATATTGCTAAACGCCAATGCAACACTTTGCTTTAAATCAATTTGAAGGATTAAACACTTCAGTTGGTATGAAAGTTAATTTCAAATGAATCTATTCTGATCTATCTCTCCTGATTCATATGTGATTACCATCAAGAAAAATGTAAATGATATCTAAGTATAATTCTATGCCAACAATTTTATTCTATAAATACACTTGTATTACAATAAATTACATGATAAGATTTATTAACGATACGTTATCCACGTCCTCCCCCCCGTGAGATTCGACCCAAGACCTATTAGTCTCGCGCACGAGCGCCTAACCATTAGACCACTGAGCCGGAATCCAACGGTGTTAATGTCTGACTTCAAACAATTCACGAAATTGCTTCCAGGTTTTCCATGGTGGTCTAGCTTCAATTGGCTCATGATTTCAATTATTGAAATTACTAAAATCTTCACAAAACCCCTTCTGATACGTTACTAATCAGGGATTTCTATATCTTAATTACATATTAAAACTTGGCGGATGGTGTTCATTTTATCAACAAGTACGAACGATTCTAATATAGCCAATATATGTGATGATCAAGTCATATTTTAATATTCCAATTAAACTTGTACATAATAAAGTTTACACAAGCACAGGCAAAGTTCAGTGTTATTACTAAATAGGAAACCAGACAAAATAATAGATGAAAGGGTATGTATGTATGTATGTATGTACGAAACTATTTTGCGCCTAGTTGAAATATCTATTTCCATTATGAAAAGGTAAACCTTATAAAAAAATTGTTAGTTACTATATAGTGATTAGAAAACACTGTACTGTAATTTATTTATAGAACATGATTATTAACTAAATTCACTTGGTATCATTTACGAAACGCACGTCTTAGATTCCATTGTTAGTCACTATCCATCCTTACTTAAAATGCTTGTGAATAAAAGTAATATTGAGGCAATCATCATAGGATACACATATGTTAACAATTTGGTGAATATTATCTCTTTGTTAAAAATATAGTTATTTATGAGAAGATACAAGCAAACAACATCAAGTGAATTCAAACTTCACTCCGTTGCACAAGCAGGTGATTATTAGCATTCAGTAGTTAAGTAAATAACACAATGGCGTTTGAAGTTAACGATACTGGGTTCGAGTTGCAGACTGAACATCAACTATGAGATGCAGGCACGTGCAGCTGACGAGTCCCAAATAGAACGAAACCTGTTTCCTGGATTTCACTGCTAATCATTATCCATCTTTCATTCTGATTATTAACTGCTAATATTTCTGATTAATTTCAAGTTCTCCAATTTAGGCTAAGAATTTTAGGGTTATATTCATTTTCAGTTTTTTTCTTTTTGTTGTTGAAAACTGAATAAAATGGAAATAGATTACTGAAATTATTTGATAGTTTTATATTCCCAAATATTCATAAACTTGACATAGGTGTTGTGTGTGTAAGATGTAAATTATTAGTATTCTTGTTTACACTAAAAGGTTAAATCAAACTAGAATTTGGTAGTATATATTGATTATTTGAGCGAACAACATGTAGAAGTGAAATATTAGGTTGTTTCATCTTAGTTTTACGACTCAAGCACATTAATTGAAAGATACGAACTTTCACAAGTGAAATTTACATACATTGCATAAGGTAGTAGCTATTCGGATCCATTTTCACGGTGGGTATCTCGTTGAATACGTTAAGCTAAATAGTCTAAGTTCAAAACTTGGTGTGATCAAAAACACTGATATAACTACATTTAGGTGAAGACTTCCTTGTAGAACAAAACGAGCGTTCTAAATTTAATTGTCAACTATTAATCAACGTTACTGATTACAATCATTGTTTGAATGATTTTAAAACAATAAACTTTCAAAAGCTAATCGCTAACAGATTGAGCTTATATGTCATGATATCAGTAACCAAACATATGATTTATATCATATGTAAAGAAACATTTTGGAGTACCTGTTGAATTGAAAAAGTAAAAAACAGTATGACTGAATGGAGTTGATTTAAAATTCGAGTTTCATTAACCAGCTATATTCTATGTTCTACGTAACTGATTTTAAGCTAGACAATTATTTACAGTTACCTTAGTAAGCATATTCGTAGTCGATTTTTCGTTGTCAAAGTTTTAACTTTTGTGGAAAAATTGCAACTCATCAGTTGATGTAAGGAGACAATTATTATGCGAACATGTATCATAACATATGAACTAACTACACCATGAACAAACGGCTTACTATAAATTGTACCGTATACAGCATAAATAATTATGTGACTGAATGGAAAGTGCTGATTGTTAAGATATAATGTGTTATATAATGATTTTTACTGAAATAAATTTTATCAGGATACTTGTTAGGTTGTATAAGATTGAACATTAAAACTACATAAGTGTTGATCAATTTTCTAGTCTTCCGCATATCAGAGCTTTCTAATATCTGTTTGTTTGACAACATTATCCATTTCAAAATGGGATACTGTTTTCAGACATTACTTACATATAACTATTCCTATAACTCTAAATTACATCACAATTGATTCAACAATGAAGTTTAAAATGTTGTGTTACTAGTAAAAGTAAACAAAATACCTAGAATACACTCAACAATCTTTTCAAATACTAATATAAATAATACTGGATTCATTCCGTGTCATATGCTTGAGTGAACTGAAGAATTCCTTGCACAAAATATACAATGTTGAGACGAAATCCTCGTTTGGTGAACATTTAAGCTAAAAATATTACAGAACTGCATATAGAACGTTTATAAATAGTAATGAACTCTGTTTCATATTTATCTGCATATGTCTACCACTGGTCATTTCTCCGTCACCTCTTTTATTATCAGCTATATACACTGTAAATTTTGATGAATGTCAATGAAAGGAATTGAACAGACATCCAAATAAGTAATTCAAAGATATTAGGTTATAGATTCTCAATCTTATTCTTCATTCTAAATGTTCTTCACTGCTGACCTGTTGAAAATAATAAAAATTTTCACAAGTAGATTAAATTCATTCAAAAGAAAACTGTCATTTCAATAAAAACAGTTTTCGTCAAAGAAACTCAAATCTATAATGATGTTAATTGGATTGTAATTCATTTTGCAAATACTAATTAATTGTAAAATACAAATGTTAATAATAAACATTTTTAGAAAACTTTGAAATTATGATAATAGTAATGTTAATTTATTATTAATGGCTTTATTCACTATTCTATTCGTGGTACAATTTAGAATCCTCAGCACAATGTATTTCAATAAATCTTACTTCGTGGTCGATTCTGACGATAAATATTGACTGATCGCCAGTTAAATGGTAACAGTCCAGTAAATCGACATAGGAATAATGGATATCCTTTTCGTTGTATGTTGCCAACAACCACGATATCTTTGATTTGGCCTTAAAGAACTTATATAACAAAAGGTTGTACACTTTTTAGAAACGAACCTGAATAGGTTATGCAATTAATAGACATATTGATGTATTAAAACAAACAAAATTAGATAACTCGTTGAAATATTTAAATGTCAGGAACAGATAGCTCATATATTCATCTAGGCTACCAAGTTGTTCAACAAGGAATATGTAATTTTGAATTACGGATATTCTATTCAGATAAAATACATTTCTGGCATTTATTTTATTCACAATAACACTAATAAATTATATTATTATAAAGACCGATAAGTCACAGGTTTGAATCTCACGAGGCGAGATCATGAATGCACACTGCTCAGAATTCCCATACTAGGACGAAATGGCCGTCCAGTGTTTCTAGGTTTTCTATGATGGTCCAGCTTTAATGAACTTATGAATTCAACTATTGAAATTACTAAAATCTCCGTAAAACCCTTCTCTGATTATCAAGGTATTTCTTTAAATAATTTTTTTTTCTAATCATCATCATTGTATGTAAAACATATTTTCTATTCAGTGAAAATATGATACTTTAGATAAGTATCTCCATATTCAGTATGTACGTCAATTGTAACACATTTATACTGAAAAAGGTAATTATTTTTTTCATCAAATAGTTAAATTGTCTTGAAGACGGTATGTTTTGTTTTCCAAAAAAAATGGTATGCGTCATTTCTACTGAAACTAAAAGATATTCAGTATACTTCAATATCAACCCATATATATTGTGTGAACTCCGCCTGGAGTCCCTTTCCGGGGGCTACTGCCGGTCCCAAGCCCGGATAAAGGAAGAGGGTTGGGCATGGGGTTAGCGACCCCATCCCGTAGAAAACTAACTCGCTAAAAAAACACTAACCAGAAAAAATTATTCAAACCATTTAAACTCTGCCCTGGGAGTCAGGAGGTCTTCG